GTGTACAAAGCAACTCCGCGCGAGCGAAATGATGTTTAAGGTCCATTTACACTTGCCCGTTTTGTATCCCGTATCGCACCCGATACTATATTATATTCTATAAGGGACGAAATAAAATGTTTTTATTTTTGTAACCGCGCCATCGTTGACGATAAAATTTTAAAACAGAACAAATGACACCGAAGCGTACACATAAGTAAAGACAAATCTATGGCTTTTAACAAACGTGCGATCCTGAAATGGGGAAATAATCACACCCAATTCTGCCGAGGAACGCTAGGTATACGAACGTAACGGACAAGTGCAAATGGACCTTTAATCTTTTCCATCCAATGGAACGATGGTAGCATTTCCCTCACGACGTTCACGTTATGCGTGACGTGATAATGCGTGGAAACGACTGACTCCGCTTTTTGTGTATCCCACACACACGCATCTCGCATACACGAATGCTACAGCAAGTCGCTCAAGTGATGTCACGCTACGAGTAAAACGCTATGTCATTGCAATGCAAAATTTCATCAACGTAAAATCCTTTTTTTTTTTCTAATATTATCTTGTTTTATAGAAGAATATAAAGCAGCTTTATTTCCTTCATTTTGTACGACTGTATTTTCTTCAATTATCGAATTCATGTAAATCAAATGTTCAATTGAATACAACGTAAATTCCTCAATATGAAGAATATTATTATATGAAATGATATATTTTTTCATCTTAGATTCTTTCATTTTCGTGTAATAGGGTGTCTACTCAAATCTTGTGAAAAAAATTCCCTGATCTTCCAGGTGTTTTTGTTCAAAATTCCAGGTAAACAAAATATTTGAAAGATTTTTTGGTGTAACTTTATAAAACAAATTTTTTTATTGTATGCGTTTTTTAATGCTTTTCACTCATAGAGAAAAAAACGCAGAATCATTTAAGTTTCAGGTGCTAGATCTGCAAATATACTACTGAAAAAAATTGAATAACTTTCATATAAAATAAACATTTTTTCACTTGCATTGAGAGAGACAATTAACTATAAAATTTAAAAATTTTGCTAACTACAAGATTTTTATCATATGAGGGATCATTGATTCCATTAAATTTTAAAACAATAAATTATATGCATAGATTATATATCGTTGAAACGAATAAATATCCAGATTTCAATTCAAGCCATTCTCGTTCTCGAAAAGAAGAGTGCCTTTATTTCTCTCGCGGGGCTAAAAATTTACTTTACTCGGCGAATGACTAAGAGATCATACGAATCTCCGAGAGAACGGGGTACCGCGGTCGAAAGTGCGTGCGCGCGTGTGCGTGCGTGCGTGCACGCACGCTCGGTTTTTGTACTGTATACACAGTCCATTAGCCCTCGCGCGTCTGTTATCCGTCATTGCGTCAGACCGCTAACGAAACAACGACACCACTCAGGGAAGGGACTTAGGTAGTTGTCCGAGCCCGCAAGCAAGTCGTTTCCCAAATGTATAACGCGGTGAAAGCCGTACGTAACTCGATAACTCTCCTTGCCAAGTTTCTCGGTAATGTTAAAAAAAAAAATAAATAAATAAACGAAAAGAATAACACCCGGTATATTTTAACAAGCGAATGTTTCATGAGATTTTTCGTCGCTCGGCGAACTTTTTATCAGTGTTTTGCAATACTAATGATCTACACAGTTGGAAAATTCGTGTTAAATTTAACATAATTTGCATGTCTTAAACAGTCCACAGAAATTTTTATGTTAATTGAACATAATATGTATATGTCAAATGGTGACACTAATACTGTTAATATTTAATAATGTAATGCTAATATTTCAACACAAAATAAATGCAAACTTCATAGTAATTTGAAATAAATTCTGTGTAAAATCAACATATTTTTAATGATAAAATTAACTTATTGTTAGAAAAAAGTTATTGATGATCTATAGTCACTCTCACTCCTATTATAGAATAAAATCAACATTTTTTCTGTAAATTTTAACAAATAAATCCTGTCACTAATAATACAGAATATATCTATTGTGTAAAATTGAAAATATATGCATATCGTGTTATTTTTACATTTTTTTCAGTTGTTTTAATAATTTACCTTTTAAGTTCAATTAACTCAACAGCAATATGTTAAATTAACACATAAATGTGTTAAATATTTAACACAAAAATTTTTTTTTGACAAATAAATATAAATTTTCCAACTGTGTATGAATAAATAATTAATAAAGATTCCTAAATTTATAAAAATATATTAAAATATAAATCATATCTCCTGAAAATATTTTACGTTATTCCTAAATATTTTAATATTTTTTAAGTCGATTGAGACGAAGGAATGGAAATAAAAAGTTCAATATAAGCCGCTTACGCAGTATCTCTCAAATTGACGTTACGATTAGTGACACAATTACGTTACGCAATACCATCACCGTTAAAGAATCATCGAAACACTTTCTCCTCGCGGAAGATCGTTCCGTAAAAGAAAATAAGAAACGATTCAACACGCGTTTAAGATTATCTTTCCCTCGTTTCCATTATCACACACGCACACACACACACACACACACATACAATATTGCACAGCTTCATTATCATTCTCGACGCAATTTAAAGAAACGGCGTAAAAGCGCAAATAGAACGCATATTGTATCGGGTGTTCGCACGAAAAAAAATATATCAGCAACTCTGATTCTCTCTAATAAATCTTCGGAGAGTTCAATCTTCTTTTAAAAATCATTAAGTCTTAAAGCGGATACGCACACATACATAAACGCGCGCACATTTACAGGGTGTCTACTCAAATCTTATAAAAAAATTCCCTAAAAATTCCCTGATCTTCCAGATATTTTTGTTCAAAATTCCAGGTAACAAGAATATTTTAAGATTTTTTCGTGCAATTTCCTATAAAATAAGTTTTTTTACTGGACACGTTTTCTAATGTTTTACATTCACACGAAGAAAAAACACAAAACTACTTAAGTTTCATGTGCTAGATTTATAAATATACAGAAAAGAAAACTGAATAGTTTCGTGAAGATAAAAATTTTTAACTTGCATAATCTTTTTCATTTTTTATCACTAAAAATTAAATTAAAGAATATGTACTGCATATTCAATATTTTGTTAAGATATTGAATATATATAAACAGAGATAGATATACGCTTAAAATATATTTTAAACTCATAATTCACAATTTGCCTTCAACTGCTTACAATATAAAAGCAAAATTATCAAAGAGAAAATTTTTAAAAAAATTCCCTATAGATCCTAATAAAATTCCATGATGATTCCCTGATTTCTCCAGATACAAAAAAAAATCCCTGAGAATCCCAGGTTTTCTATATTTTTCCAGGGAGTAGACACCCTGATTTAATAATATTATAAATGCAGGATATGGATTTAAGTTCCTTTGTTCATTAAAAATGCAGCAATTAATATAAAAGATGGTACGTCAAATGACGTTCTTCGAGATTAAATTCTTCAAGAATCGATCCGTTTAAATCTCTAATTTACGAGAACACTTTAAGGGGGAATCGCAATGCCGCGAATTACTATTTCAGACGATCCAAATACGGCGTACTCTCGAAATTCCCGCGTTACCGGCCGGAATTCACGGTCGCGCGCGCGCGCGCGCACGCGCACGCGCGCGAGCGTGCGGAAAAGACGCGTCCTTGAGCTCGTATCTCGCGGCGACGATAGATCGCGCGGTTGTAATCGACGCGGCGCAATCTGCGAGAGTGTGGCGCACACATACACACACCGTACAATAATCGCACATACACCCCGTCACGCACACAAGATACTCGGAGCGCGTCTGCCGTGGCCTCGAAAAGTCGGTGACTCCGGGTCGGAGGCGCGCGGCCGAGTCCGACAAACGGTTCGCGTGTGTGTATGTGTGTGCGATGTTGCCGCTACTCCTCCACTGGAAGGCGGCGAGCGTGTATACGTGCGCACGAACACGTGGCTTACATATGTACATGTGTACGCATTTCTCTTGTCGAATCGCGTCGCGTCACACGTCGCCCGCGATAAATTCTTCTTCGGTCTGCATTTCCACGAAGGAGAGAAAAGGAAACGAGACACGGGACCATAAAACTCAAAGGGTTTTCACTCATCGGGTAGGAAGGAGGGGACACAGAGGGTGAGACTCAGATGACAGTCTCATGACGAAAGAGATAGAGATGGAGATAGATTTGAAGAATACCGGATCGATTAAGCGTGGAAGAC